TTATTTTACATAGAACGAAACGACTTTAGTATTTTCTAGATACAATACATTATTTTTTATAGTGTATTTCTTTTATAATCATTATTAATTCAACAAAATAAAGAAAATGTATTTTATTTATGTATGAAAATGTATACTTCCCTTATTAAAATTAAAACGATGGCATTTTATTTATGTGATATGAATGATTCCTTTAAACGATTGTATGTAAAGATCAAATTTTTTTGTGTTAGATATGTAAATACACAGGAATTGGGTGGAATGTCTGAAATGCGCCTAATTTAATCCGTGATTAAAATGATACTTGATTTGTTAAGTTAATAACCATTGTGATAGGGCAAATGAGTAAATTCTGTTGCATTAAAATTATGGTTTATTAAATTATAAATATTTTCATTACATTCTATCACGTCAAAATTAAAGTTTAATGTGTTATAGCTGCTGTGATTTTACTCTTCACTATCATAATTTGTTGTGCTATAATTTATTTGAGCCTTACTCAGTGGGATTCAACTAGTTCAAACTCAATGCAAATTTGTAGTTGAACCCAATGCTTATGTATTTTATTATTAGCCTATAATGTGATATACTTTTTCATGATGAACTCTAGAAACTGATTCTCCATCCTCTTAGTTGCACCGAAGTTAACTCCGGTGTGAACCCCTCGTCACTTAGAATCTGTTAGTTTTCCGATAGAAAATGATTTGATAAGCCTAGAAACTGATTCTCCATCCCCTCTACTGCACCGAAGTCGACTCCAGTGTGAACCCCTCGCTATTTTTGGTCGAAATCATCAGAATCTGCTAGTTTTCCGATAGAAATAGATTCAATAACCCTAGAAACTGATTCTCCATCCCATTTACTGCACTGAAGTCGACTCCGGTGTGAACCCCTCGTCTTTTTCGCTCGAATTCATCGGAATCTGTTAGTTTTCCGATAGAAACTGATTCTCAATCCCCTCTACTGCATTGAAGTCGACTCTTGTGTGAAACCCTCGCTATTTTTGCCTGAAATCATCAGAATTTGTTAGTTTTCCGATAGAAACTGATTCTCCATCCCCTCTACTGCACCGAAGTCGACTCCGATGTGAACCCCTCGCCATTTTCGCTCGAAATCATCATAATCTATTTGTTTTTCGAGAGAAGCTAATCGATAACCCTAGAAACTGAATCTACGTCCCCTCTACTGCACTGAAGTCAACTACGGTGTGAACCCCTCGCTAATTTCGCTCGAAATCATCATATTCTGTTAGTTTTCTGATATAAACTTATTCGATAACCCTAGAAACTGATTCTCCATCCCCTCTACTGCACCGAAGTCATCTCCGGTGTGAACCCCTCGTCATTTTCGCTCAACATCATCAGAATTTGTTAGTTTTCAGAGAGAAACTGATTCGATAAACCTAGAAACTGATTCTCCATCTCCTCTACTACACCAAAGTAGACTCCGGTGTGAACCACTAGCCTTTCTTGCATGGAATCATCAGAATCTATTAGTTTTCCGATAGAAGCTGATTCAAAAACTTTAGAAACTGATACTCCATCCTCTCTACTACACCGAAGTCGACTCCGGTGTGAACCCCTAGCCATTTTCGCTTGAAATCATCAAAATTTGTTAGTTTTCCAATAGAAACTTATTTGATAACCCTAGAAACTAATTCTTCATCCCCTCTACTGCACCGAAGTCGACTCCGGTGTGAACCCCTCACCGTTTTCTGCTCGATATCATCAAAATCTGTTAGTTTTCCGATAGAAACTGATTTGATAACTGACAGCGACTTTATATATGTTTTAAAATATAAGCATTTAATACTGTTGCTAAAAGATTTAATTCCTCAGCAACTGTACCAAAACTTAATAACAATTATATATTCGATAAAGATGGATGTCTAAAATATTTAATAATTGTAAAGTCACACTTATCAACGCAAATATATGTATCGCTCAAGTAATATAGGGCTCTTAATGGAGTCCTAGATATCGATCCCACAGGGAGTAATATTAGAACTACGAACTAAGATTTTAGAAAAGTAATACTCAATCGCAACAATGGAATTCAAATTGCTTATCTGTCACTAATAGGGAATCGAAATAAATATATAATTTTTAATAACTCTTAAATAACTAATTATACTAATGAGATTTTTAATGTGATATTCAATATATAAGAAAGCATCCTTCTCCTTGTCAAGAAATTATATTGAATGGATAAAGTGAATCAGTTCAATTTGTATTGTGCCAAATATGAGCATAACTATTCATTACCCTTTAGTCCAAGCATAAAGAACATTGACTAATCCTACACTTGTTTACTGAATCTGCGGCTAGGCGGGGCGGATACCGGCTCTCACTTCGGAGCTCCCATGTTCCCCTCGCCTGAGGGCTAACATCTACACTTCAACACCTAAACGATAGGACCGAATTGGGGATTTTAGTCTGTCACTCTAAAATCTC